AATGTTCAGTTACTGGCCTTTGTGACGTGCCCTGTCCTGTCCAACACGTGCACACTCTTATTGGTTGACCGAGGAATGTCCGCGTTTCATGTTTTAGAGTTCATTGGAAAGTAATTATGCCTGTTGTAGTTTAACTACATCATTTTAATAATATAAAAAAGGAACTAGAGCACAGCCGTCAGTGTAAATCTCTGTTCAACTATGCGCTCAATTTGATAGAAATTGATAGAAATTACAGTGAGAGCGCAGGCCGAGCTGGTGTGTATATTACCAATTTGGATGAATTGCCCGAGTCTGTGGCGAAAAAACTAAAACTATCAACCGTGTATGAGAGATACCTCTTTCTGTCCACGGTTGATGTTTCTAGTTTTCTCGACCCAGTCTCCACAAATTTATCAAAATGAAAAATTGGCTAGTAAGCAAGGTGGGCTGGGTTCTGAAATTTAACTTGTTTAAAAATAGTAACTGCATAATCGGGCTTATTTTGTCGACACTTACGGGGAACCATCCTAGCTATTGCATTAGGAACATATCTAACATTGCCAACACGCTCAAATTGGTCGACCCAGGGATGTTCTAGTGCATAATTTTGTGAGGCGCTTGGGAAGTAATTATACCTGTTGTGGGCTAACTACATCATTTTAATAATATATAGAAAACTAGAATACAGCCGTCAATTTCTTTTAAATTATGCGTTCAAGTCAGTACGCAATAGGGGCTACGATTATCTGCCTCATTTTTCCCCAAGTCTGTTGCCGCTTACCCGCTTTCTTGTTAACATCGGGGAACAATTTGGGCGGGTAAGCAAAGTGAGCTTGATTATCAAATTTAAAGTATTTTATAAAAAAAATGGTAACTGCATATTCTACTTTCATTTCTAGACAGCCATAGGGAACCATCGTAGTTATTACAGTAGGGACTTATCGTAGAACGTCAGTGTCGGATTGCGGGCCCCACGAGCGCCAGCTATACCGACCCCAGTCAACGCAAAACTCCAGCATGCTCTCGCGTGTGACCTACGAGAAGTCCCTAAATTTGACAAGCGAGCGTAGCTGCATTACTGAATCACGCGACAAGATAGAGAAACAATAATTAAACCTGTCCACCGCACACCTGGTGATTCATGCTTCTGGCGATCTTTATTGAATCACCTCCCAGGGCCGGTTTTCTCGAAGCGATGGTAAACCCATTTTAGTAAACTACGGTACCTAGGAAGGAAAAAGTACCTAGGTACTGTAATAAACGGCTGGATATAGAGCAACAATAATTTTTTTTTTTTTTATTGGGCAGTAAGATGCGTCATCTATCGGTGAAACAAGCCAGTCATTTTGTTTATCCTCTTTTTCCGCTGGTTGTCATCGATCTAGTATGGTATTTTAAGTCAAAATATAGTAAAGTTGTACTTGAAGACCAATTTATTTGCTTCCGATGGTACGAACAAATTTTAGCTACTATGCTAGAGTTTGTCGACGAATATTCGAAAATGTAAAAAACATTTTCTTCAATATGTTTCGCCATGAACAACGCATAAGTTTTCCGTGTTTCTTCCAGTCTGGCAACGCCGGTGCTGTAGTCTCGTTTTCGTTCCTTGCGACGCACGTTTCTGCGAGTCCTGCTGATCTCAACTGCTTGCCCTCTCTTCCGTTTGCCCAACCGATTCACCGGTGACGAGAAGCTAAGCTTCTCGTCACCGGCTTCTCGTCACCGTTGAATTGCTGGCCACCGGGAATATGTAGAAACCTCAATGCTGTCGGCATACTTTTGGCGCGCTGTGAACAAAACAAAAACAGTACAATGTCTCAGCTGTTCACCCCGAACGAAGACTTTATTGAGGATAACCCCCGTTCCCCGTAAAGTAATCGCTGCTCACGAGTTGGCGTGCATAGTGTAACAAATTAAACGTCTTAGTATAAATATGTACCAACACTGGTTCGCAAAACATTTTTTTTACTCACAATAAAAGCACTTGCAAGGCTTATGTACCGTCATATGTTTTGGATCTCGGACCGCTGAAAGGTGATGCGTTCGCGGAATGCTGCCGTCGGTTAGCTTAGTTGTCCCTCTGAACTACCGCTTTGCTTGACGTGCTAATAGGTTGATGGTGCGTCATTAATATAACAGTCGGATCGAAATTAATGTTCGGCAGAACCAAGCAGAACTATTAGCCCTCATTAAGCGACGTCGCGGCCATTTTGCTTGTAGGTATTGCTTCTCCCATCAATCAGTCATTGGCAAGATGAAGCAGCAAGACCTCACGGGTAAACAACTAGACTTTGTGAAATCATTTCTCTCGGGACGGGTCTACAAAATCCGAGCTGGATATGACAAAGAGTGTGAGAAGGAACCCTTCAAGAAAATAACATTGGAGTTCCTCAGGGCGCAGTGTTGTCACCTACACTTTTCAACATCGTTATGGCACCACTCCTCTGGAAACTTTATAAAATACCCAACCTCAGGGCGACGATTTACGCAGATGATATCACGATCTGGACGCATCAAGGGCCTCCCGAAGCCCAAGTTGTCGCCTTGCAGAAGGGACTCGACACCATTGAAGAATATCTTGCTGATGTGTGAATGTTCCCATCGCTAGAAAAAACTAAATATACCATCTACGGCCGCAATCAAGTCAACAAAAACCTAGGTCTTACCTTTGCGGGAGACCCAGTCCAAAAAGCAGACTCCGTTAAAATCCTTGGAATTAACCTTGGGTACAAGCCAAGAATAAGCAAAGCTTGGCTGGCCGAGATCTCCAAGAAATGGAAACAAGGTATCAATCTCGTCCGAAGAATATCCACGAAAATGGGAGGAGCTGGGGAAAAAACAGCCAAAAAACTCGTGACTGCAGTGCTAGTATCCAAAATAGCCTATGCGGCGAGATTCTACCGGCTCACGAAAACCCATCTTTCCAGATTTAAAAGCATGATCAACGGAGCAAGAAAAGCCATCCTTGGGCTCCCACGCCACACTTCGGCAGAGGAAGTAAGCAAGTGCATCTTCCTCCCAGAACTCACAGACCTTATGAACCAACAGAAGGAGGCTCAACTATCCCGTCTACAACATACAACCGAGGGAAGAAAAATTGCTAAGTACATGGGAATCGAGATACAAGAAGAGGCCCCCATATCGCCGAGCAAAGCGCCGTGGGAACTCATTGACGTAACTCACGGGTGCAAACCTCTCCCAAGAAACATGGACGCTGCGCGGCACAAGAAAAGACGAGAACACTACGCTCGCATGCACAACAAGGAGCTGGCTAAGCTTGTTGAGGACGAAAAAAACATGATCGCCTATGTGGACGCCAGCATCTCCTCTATGGGTTGGGCAACAGCAGCCACATATATCCAGGGGAATGCGACCTGGACAGAGACTCAAGGTAACCCTCGAGGCCACCACACGCCGGGCTTCGCCGAACGGGAGGCGGTGTTGCAAGCCATCCGAGGGGCAGTACCCGATCTACAATACGAACAACAGCTAATCGTCTGTACCGACTCGCAAGACACCATCAGAGAACTCAAGAAATACAGGTCCTCTTCTAGCCACACCATTGTCGCTATCTTCGCCTTCGCAATCTCACTATACAGATCCAAGAAAATTCAAATTAATGTCGAGTGGACTCCCGGGCACGAAGGCATTTCGGGCAACGAGCTAGCCCATGAGGCTGCACAGCAGGCGATGAGGAATCTCACACAACCGTCCCTGTTGTCTCAGTCCTTTACGGCAGGCTCAACACCACAGCAACAAGACTCTGAGCTTCCCCCATACGATCCAAGGGAGGAACTCAGGTTAGCCCAGAAGACACGAAAACATCTTCTGGCAAGATCATGGACCCCAGACCAACATCCTCTCCCTAGGGAAGAATTCAAGAGAAAAGAATCGGTGATCCTCCGCCGCATACGCACAGGAGGAGCAGTCACACCCAGGTTCAGATACCAAATGGACCTGGCAAGACTTAAGAAACAACAACCCTACGCTGTCCCTCCCGACCCCAGATGCCAGCGGTGTCAAGCCGAGGAATCCATTCCCAGACTTAAACACATACTCTGGGAATGTGCGGCCCTCTCCACCCTCAGAACACTCATCTTCAGTAAGATGGCGAATGACGAAAGACCTTCAAAACTGCAGGACTGGACGCACCCAGCGGGCGACACCTCACGCAAGACCAGGATCCTCAGATCTCTCTTAGAGTATATTTCTGAGGGAGACCTGGGAAACTCCATCTAACACCTTTAACCGAGGAGACGATGCCAAGCCTTGAGGCCACCGCGTCATGAAAACTTCGAGTCTCCAGAGATATATATTTTTCTCCTTAAATAAACGTATTCACCACCACCACCTCGGCGCACCTGCTCGCCCAGTCACGTGACCTAAAATTCCCCGTTCTAGGGACAATAGTTAACTTTAAACCACGGTTAGCGTTCGAGAAAACGGGCCCAGGAACCAAATAAAACTTTTCGGGACGCGGATACCTTTCTGTTTAATACGATGCTGTGACATTTGGGTACCCCTTGCATTCGGTACATTACTTTACAAAGTGCGAATCCAGCCCGACAAGTGCACCAGCCTCCCGCATCGTCTGCTCCTCGTGCTTCTAACAAGTATCGGCGCGCCTCGCCAGGAAGAGGAGTGGCGCTGCGTATGCGCAGCGCCACTCCTCCTAAAACAAAATGGCTAGGTGGCGTAAGCTACCGCCCGATCCAAAGGGCTCAGCCGTATTTATCCATTCATCTATCTATGCGCGGCACAACCACAACTTCAGCCGCAGTACTGTAGCCGCAGGGCCAGATGCAGATTTTTCCATCCCGCGCTAAATGTTTACACATGCATAATTCAAAGGGGGTGTAGGACTTTCCAAATTTCTCTCTAAATTTGCCACGGCGTGCGACGTGAACCCAAATTTTACTCGATTTTACTAAATTTTTTTTGACAGGCATCTACAAAACAAAACGCGTCAAATGCCAAAAAACAGGTAGCGCCTTCTCGTGTGAGTAAACCGTTAAAGAGCTTGAAAGGAGACCTCCGGCCTAGCTGTCTCTATGGGATGCATGGCCGCCCGCTTGTTGTCGAAAAGCGTACGAAACGTACGAGATGGGTAGCTCCAAGCATAAGCGCAAGTCCAGATCCAGATCCCGTTCCAGAGATCGTGTCGTTCGCAAGAAAGAGAAGCGGTAAGCTGCAGCTCTAATGTACTAGCTTTTCTAGAAGTACGCACAACGGAATTCGGTGTAAACGTGAAGTACGACAACGTCGTAGTAACTCAGAGGGGCACCCTGCCTGGCTTCCTCCTTTAGCTTCTTCGAAAGTATTCGAGCCTGACAGCTCACCGTAAACGTTCAACACCTGTGTTTGTACTTGTGCTCCTTCCAGTCGATTGGCTTCTCCGCCGAAGTCGGCCCTCGTCAGCAAACAGAGGAAACATAGCCGCAAAAATGACTCAAGTCCCGACTCCAGAAGATCTAGCCACCGAACACGCAAGCGGAGCTCTTCAGAGAGTTCTGCAAGTTCTTCGGATTCCAGTAACAGGAGACCAAGAAAGACGTCTACCGTGCCGCTGATAGAGGAGTTGGAGAAGGAGCGCCAGCGGCTGAAACTAGAAAAGAAGTAAGTCTGATTGAACGACGCCGGTCGTGCGCGAGCGCGCGGAGTTGTCGAAACCTGTTTCATATCCGAGATTCATTAACTTTTTCGCACCCATCAGGAAGGCAAAGGAAGCGCTGAAGGCGACTGAGACTCCTGAGCAGAAGCGTTTGCGGCGATTGGCAAAGAAGGTTTGTGTTTGTCAACATACCCATCGTGCCTATGTTGAGGGACTCTTGTTTACGTCTGGAAATGACCGCTTTCAGGAAGCCAAGGAGCGTAAACGGAAAGCCCAAATGGGATGGGACGAAGAATACCTGGTGAGAAACAAAACTTTTATTTCGCTTCCTTTCATTTTATTTTTACCAGAACATTTGTTTAGCTTTATATTAACATCCTTCCCTGCTCCTTACTGTTGCATTGTGTTTGAAACGAGTTCTTGCCCTCTCTAGAGCATTTCGTCCCGTGCGGTGATCTATCACTGTTGCATGGAAATATACCCGGGCATTATTATTTGGCAGCATTCCGGCTTTGTGTTTCGGACTCAAATACGTAAGCATAAAGGACGATAACTGACGCAAGCACATCACCGTACACGTCGCTGCCAAACCTTTCATTTTCGGCAGCGTTTTCTATCGTCCTTGCGTCGTAAATTATCTCATTCATGCCTTTTATACAAAATTTATCATTCTAACGCTTCACTAAAAAGAATGATTCCTTAACCCCTCGTACATTTTTGCACGAGTTGATCTTAATTTTAAAGTCGGCATACCTCATTATCAAATGTCAGTATATGTCGACTCCTTCATAACAAGAACGTCGTCTGGAACCACATTCTAGCACCTGTGGTAAGCATACCATCAACTATTAAAGAGGTTTTAACCGACCACATTTGCTAACGTGCCAGACTATTTATTTTCTAACAAGATTGCTTACTTTGTATTCTTATCGCGTTATTTTTTTTCACTGTCATTTTGCTTGCCCTCTCCCTCTGTAATGCTCTATGGGCCCTGAGGGTCTTGAAATAAAGGAGTAAAATAACTAGGTGTGTTACCAGAATTTCAAATGAAGTTTTCTTTATCTCATTGTTACGGGACAACTCTGCTTCTTTTAGGGCTACACAAACACGGACAACCCATTTGGGGATGCAAACCTGCTTAAGTCATTCAAGTGGGAGAAGAAGTTTGAGAAGGAGGGCCTCAAGAATGCAGCCGAAGAGGAGATTGAAAGAAGGAATCGTCTCAAGCTCGAAGAAAACCGGGTGAGGAGAAATCTCTGCACCCCTTTGAAGTCATTCGTAGGTTTGTCTTCCGGCATCGAGGCTAGTATTAGGGGGTGGTGCAACAATTTTTAAACGTTGGCCCATTAATTGTGGGAATTGGTCTATACCACCTATAGAATGAAGAACATAAAACCTTATTTTTTTTGCGTGTTCTAGTTTCTCTAAATATGGTAAAACAAATCAAAGGTTAGGTACATCACAACTTACACTGTCTTACGAGTCAGGTGTGCAGTGATGTCATTCGGTCCTGTCTTCGGAGCCCCCAGCCTTCTCTTCGTGATTGTTAACTTCTCAAGGTTCGATTTTGGCCATATTGGAGCACCGCACCCGCTTAGCATCATTGAAGGCCACGACGAGCGAACAAGACAAAAGGCACTTCACCACAGAAAAGGTGGGGAAGGTAGCAAGGGGGTGGAAATGATTTTGTTGGTTTCTGAGAGATGTTGCCATGAAAACCTCTGTACTCTCACCGATGTGACACCGTGGTTCCGACGACATTGCACGCAGCAAGAAATCGGGAAAATTTTTTTTTTTTTTTTGTTTTTTTTTTGCAGTTTGGCAGTGAAGTTTCAGCATTTCAAGGGAAAGCGTACATTTCCTTTCACTTGTACCAAGGTAGAGAATATAAAAAATACAAGGTGCAAATTCTTTTAAAAAAAGATAGTTTCACTGTCCCTTTAAGGATATCACCAAACCTGATGCACCTTTTTCATGCCAAGATTCACACTTGCGCACCTTTTTAGTAGCTGTAACGGGCCACAGGCTGGAATGTTCTTATTTCTAGTTGAAGCAGAGAGAGAGAGAGAAGGAATATACTTTATTGGGGTCATCAAGGATGACTTTGGGTGTTACATTGCAAGAAGTTTCATATAGCAACTGTCTCCAGGGATCTTCATCAACTTTGTCAATAGTTCAAGATGGTACATATGTGTGATTAGTGTGAACCCTGTTAATATAGGTACACCGCTTTGTTGACAACGTCTTCGGGGACGAACTGGGCAATTATATGCATTTTTGTCTCATAATTAAGGAAAACTAACATCATGAAAGCTTTTTTTTTATTGGGAACAGAAACGTCCATATCAACGAGATATCACTGCATGCAATCTCAAGGAATGCACAGTGACAGAGCAGCATGCTGTAAATTTTTTGTGAACCAAAGGACCCCGTGCAAGTAATATTCATGAGGAGTCAGCTTTCATTTAAAGGGCAACTCCAGTTCATACTTTCAATTTTGGGATTATGACTCTTATTAGCGCAGCCAGCGTCCCTGAATTACAAGGTGTAATTTTTTTCTCGTTATTGTGTGTAGTTTTAATATTGACGCCTTAAAGTTTTGTTTGGGGCGCGGCCGACAAAACCGAAATTAGCCACTCAAGATCCCGGCAACACTGGAAATAAGCCGCTGTGCGGACGTGACGTCAGTATCGTTCTCGTTCAACGAGTACGCAGGCCAAACGGCACCTACCTCTGTTGCGCTAACCGTCTAAAGATAGAAGGTAAGCTGATTTTGCTTTAATTCTGTATACGTGCTAGTTATCCAGCATATGTAGCAAGAGTTAGTGCGTATACCCAAAAGCTAGCGACTGGAAAACCCGTGAACTCGTTCAATGCCATACTCGGCGGCCGCCGCCGTACGTGCGCTCTGCCGTACTCGTCGCTTGTATACCTAAAAGCAAGCGACTGGAAAACAAGTGAACTCGTTTGGTGCCGTACTCCGCGGCTGTCGCTGTGCGTGCGGTCTTCCGTACTCGTCGCTAGGCTTAAATTGTTATGGGGGCTCCGTGGATGGAGCGGCATTGCTTTACACCGCGCTGCCAGTGATGTACAGTACTAGGGGCCCTCTCACTTTCTTTCGCGCTGCGGGTCAGTCCCAGACACGAAGCTTTGAGGCTCTCCGGCATGGGCCGCGGCGGTCGAACACACGTGTGCTGGGCTGTACACGACTGTTTTTTCGTTCTTTTTTCCTCGGGCGCGTAAAAGCCAAATTTGTAAGCTACGACCCTAATTCACCACATGAGTTTGTCTAAACGGTAAAACTGATTTGTGAAAAAAAAAAAAAATTAAAAAATGTGTCGCATTCTAAAATAAAAAAAATAAAAAATTCTATAGGCAGGCATTTTCTTCTCAAAGCTAGCAAAAGTTTTTGTGGGTGATAGAGGAAAACAGAGGATGTTAGCAAGGTGAGAACACTTTCTTTACCCCACAACCACAATTGTTTTTTATTGGAATACATAGGATTTTAAAAGTTTTCCTTGGTTACTTTTGACTAAAGCAAGTGTTTTTTATTGTTGTTTTTTTTGCGTTGTTAAATATTATATTTACAACCAGCCGAACTCGGGTAAATTACAGTGTTGTAACTTACAAATCGGAATGTTTGCGATTTTTTAGTCCTTTATGGTATCCACAAGCGCAATGTTAATTAATACTGCTGCGTAACGGGTTTGAACGCTCGTGCTGGAACAGCAGTGTTGGGAAGTACTTTAAGTACATTGTACTTAAAGTACTACTTGAAGTAGGTTTATGAAACTTCTACTTTACTTGAAGTACATTCTCGGAGTGTGTTCTTGTACCTTACTTAAAGTATTTTTTCCTGGTATTTTCCGAGCAGAGTACAATTCCCGACTTCAAAGTACATTCCCCAAATTTGGTTTTGTTAAATTTGTATTACGAGATGATGCCTTGTCAACTTCGAAGAAATACTGGTGGAGATATTCTACTTTCACCAGAAACGGGAGGAGACGATGCATCGCTCTGTTTATTCTGAAGGCGGCTTTCCCGTAGCTTTTTCAAGTCTCGCTACTTCTCGGTAGGTCAGCGAAAGCGAAGAGGTTTAAAATACTAAAAGAGCAAAATTAATTATAATGTAGCACCTGAGACTGTGGTGCAGAAAAAGTAAACTTTCAGGTCGAAGAAAAAGACAACAGAGAATGCCACAAGGTTTTGAGACATTCTTTTTTCTTTTCCTTTGACTTGAAAGTTCCTTAATTTTTTCAAACCTCAATCTCAGGTGTCACATTATGATTAATTATCACCACCTCGCTTTCACACTCACTGTTCTTTTTTTCATTAAGGAGAGGATACTCCTGTCTGAGAGGATTGCTTGCGTAAGCTACGGGGCTGATGTCATGCTCTCTCCTAGTACATTTAACCCCCTTGGGTGCAATATACCAGTGCAAGCGGCGGCAAATTCAGAAGCGGGACTTCTGGCTTCGGCTCTATTCCTGAGAATAACTGCTCTATGGCTATTTGGCTTTATCAAAGATTCGCCGCTGATTTTGAAAATAGGTCATACCCCTGATTACCCCTGGGCAATGCATACCAGTTAAAAAATGTATAGGGGAACGAAAGGGCATCATGAAGGATTGTTTTAAAATACTTGTACTTTACTCTGGAAGTACATTGCATTTATAGTACTTCAAGTACATTGCACCCAGTGTAGTTACTAGTTTACTTGAAGTACATCACGTCTCCTTTACTTTGTACTTTACTTGAAGTACCTTTAGTTGTACTTTACTCAACATTGTGGAACAGCAGGCGGACGATGGGCAAAGAGCGACGGCACGGCACCCTTTTTAAGCCTCGAGCCCTTTGCTGACGAGCCACAAGCAACCAACACCCGTAGGTTTCGTTCGCAACTCTCCGGCGAAAAATGATCGGAGCAGAGCTTCGATCTGGGGGTCGGCATTTAAGACTTTCCAAAGTCCACTCGTCAAACAGCGTTCACCCACACCTTCTCCGAATTCCGGTCCGTTGGAAACTTGTGAAAAAGCACCTCCGGGTTCCGCAGTGGGTTATTTGAGCAGCCCACAGAGGTACAAGTTGTACTCGGCATCTTTCGAGGAACAGCTGGGCAGTCTTGGGCGCACCGAGTTGCTCGCTAAAACGAGTCTTGGAGTCCTCACATGCAAATAAACAAAAGGCTATACCGAATCTACACGGGCTGCAGATAAAAGCAACGGCTAAACACGCCAATCACAAGCTGAAGTGGTGGTGGCAGCGGCCCAAAGAAGCTTACTTTACACTGCTCGACTGCGCAATGGGTGCACCCGTCTGGACCGTAGAAAAAAAAAAAAAAAGAGAATGATCCTGAAGTCACGGCCCAACGTTGCTTTAGCGATCGGCAACCCGCTGGCCGCCCGCTAAGGAGCAGCGGCTCGCGGCGGGTCCCATTTTTATTATCGACATTAATTGAGAATGCGGCGTCCCCCGGACGTAATATTTTGGCTGGGGTCGTATTTTGTGTCACTACAGCGATACCAGCAATTTATTTCATTTTGAGTTTTGGC